GCCGCCTGCTCCTTGGGGGCGTGTTGCCTTGTCTGGCTGGAATATTTCTGGTCAAAGTTTCGGCGCGATTTTCGCCACAGCCGAAAGTCAAAAGCTTTTGTCAACAAACCCCCGGCAAGGACCCCGCCTCGAAGGTGCGGTGGCGAACCCTTTCGCTGGCGCGTAATCCCCCAGGGCCTTTCGCCGGATACGTGAGCAGTAGGCTAGAGATGGAGGTGGAGCAGGAGCTGGAACAGCCGTGTGGCCAGAATTTTGATGGGGTTCTGCGGCAAAATCTGCGTAAACTTTGTCTTCATCTCGGTGCGTTTGTGTCTGGCATAAGGGAGTTTACTTTGTGTCTTATTTGCTTATGAAATAAGATATTCCAAAAGCCAGCCACAACCCGATCCCAATCACAGGCCACGATTTAAGCATAGGTATTGAGTCCCATTGCCATTGCCAGGCAGACTCGGTTTTATGTGCTGTTTATGAGATTGCCTGACACTTTTATGCAGCTCCCTGGTTTACGGCCAAAGGGTTGGCCCAAAACCATCAACGGGCTTCCTATTCGAGTCAATTCGAATGAGTTATGGAGTGGATTGGATTCTGGTTAGAAGGGGCTTCAATATTCAGCGATTGGGGTATTGAATATGAGAGAGGCTTACTACTAGCGTAGTAGGCTATAATAGGCTACTTGTTAGGCTATAATATAGCTATAATAGCCGCTATATGTCATCCAGGTTATATTGAGAGGATTAATTCCTTAGATTAATAAAATCAAGCTTGTATTATCTTCTATCTGATAATTAAGATTCTTCTGAATGAATCTGTAATTTGAAATACTCTATGAAAGAGTGTGACTTTTTCTTTCAAATATATCCTATAAAAGTGGCAGTCCTTTTGCCATTCATAGATGAAATGGTCAAGATTCGACAGAGTCATCGCCACGTCAACAGCAAGAGTGCTGGCCATTGTTATTGATTGTTTCTTTTTCTATTTCTATTTTTATTTCAGTTGCAGTTAGTGGCTGGCAATGAAAAATCGATGCACCCAAAATAAAACTCAATCAAGAGCAATTAAAGGAATTCACAATGGAGAACCGTAAAAGCGAGACAATAAGGAATTGTACACACCAATCGATGATGAAGGGCGTTGTCCGGTTAGGGTCAGGGTGCACCTCACCCACTTGGACTGGTGCCTAGGGTCATAAGGGAACACCTGGCTGGCTGGCCGGCTGACTGGCCGGCGTCTGACTCGAGGATTTATTTGGGCGTCAAAGCCACCACCAATAAAAGTGGAAAACAAAGGGAAAACTCCCAAAAAGATTGGAAAGTGGCGCGTGGCTACACTGTGGAAAAAAGAGTGGCACTTACACAAGGCACTTCCCTCGGACACAACTGACATAGAGCTGCTTTGTCTTCTATCTCTCAGTGTGGACCCTACTCAAACCCGGCTGCTGTCCCTCCGGCTAGGTGCCAAAAAAGTGTCCGGGAGTCCCGGGGTCGAGTGGCACACGCACCCGTTCCTGCCTCGTGACATGGCCATTGTCCATTGTCCGTTGGCCGTTACAAATTGTTGTGGGCGTTCCAAATCCGCTTAGGAGTCGCCTTTCTCCAGCTCATCCATCCAGGCATCCCGCCATCCATCCCTTCACTCGGAATTTAATTTTGTGTGAGTTTTGATTTCGTTTTACGGAGCGAGTCGCATTTCATCTTGTGTTTGGTTTTTGAGCGTTAAATCGCACAAATCCTTCGTTAATTTTGACGTTTGTCTTTCTCTTTTCGTCCGATTGTGTGAGGGCGAGGGTGTGCCTGTCGATGACCAGCGGTCAGCGGATGGATGACCCGTACTAGGGGTGAGACCGGAAGAAACCCGGCATGTGGGTGGACTGCAATTACTCGTCGACTGGAGAGATTAAAAATTTAATTCGAAATTAGCGCAATTGTTGGGTCTGCTCCCTTTTTCTATCGATTCGAGTGGAAACACAAACAAAATCGATGCCAGCTGTCCTTCCCCCGATTCCGATAATGGCAACAATTTCCTGATTACTTTTTGACCGTTCACATGTATTTTATGGTCATCAAGGAATGTAGGATTGATTCTCCAACGAACTGATTTGAAGCTCTAATTCTTGGATAGGGGAGTACGGAATTTGGAGTGATGAGCTTGTATCTTGTACTTTGCATAGTGTGAGAAAATCTGGTTCCTCCAGAGTAAATGGACATATCAATCACCTCCCAAGAAATTGGATCGCGGATTTTGACTAGAGATTTTACTGGGTCTCTAGATGGGGGTGGGAATACCATAAAAGCCAAACAATGGCGTGTTAATGGCCAACTTTAAACTGACACCACTCCACGCGAAGGTTAATCGCTTCCCGGCCGGACAACGGACACCGGATAGCGGACACCGGGCACCACCCGCTGATATCTGGGTTCGATTTTCGGGGGCTGTGCGGAGTAGCGTGATAAATGCATCAAAACCCAGCGGGTGGACGCCGAATAGAGTTGTCAACTTTAGGAGTTATGTCCACCGATTGGGACGTTTCGATGGCAGCTGGAATTACACACACGAAACATGAAAAATGGCCCCCGAGGGGTAGGGCGTCTATGATTCAATTACGCTCAATGGAAATGTCACTAAAAAGTTTTGCATATTAATTGAATTGGAGCCGAGTGAAGAGTGAAGAGAAGGAACTAAACTGCCGCCCCGGGACACTTGAATTGCCAATTGATTTTTGCGGTTTTTCAACAAAAATGTTGAACAAATTGCATGGAATTTTTGTCTTTTTTATTGGCCCTGGGACACGCCCTTATCAACACTATACACCCTCGAATATGTGGCCAGTAGCAGCCTTTTTTATTCGCCACTTTTTGCCAGGTGTGGCTAGTTGCTGTCGCCTCCTGTTTGTTTTGCATTAAACGGTTTGTTTTGCTAACCAAAGTGTTGATTTTATGGCCGATGGCCGGACACCTCCACTCCGTCGTTTTTTTTGTCAACGCGAAATCGGAGCTACTGAATCGGCCAGTTAACTCCTAACAGATATAGCTGATTGCACAACTATCTATATAATTTCAACCTCTGCAATTTGCCATTGTTTGGAGGTATCTATCTGATTTTGATGTTAAATGTCTCATCAAGAAAAGGGTTCTTTGAAACCAACTAGTTTCTAATTTTTAATGGGTGAAGGCCCATCTCAGTCGATGTCTGTTTAATCTCCTGACGCGGATTGATTACCTTGAAGCCCTCTAAAGCCAAAAGCAATATACACAATATACAGTCTTCTGCTTTACTTAATATAACTTTTTGTTTGTAGTGCCCCATAAACCCTTCATTACACGGCACTAAAGCCGGGGCAATAAAAGCAACTACAGCAACTAAAACCCGAAAATAAAAACTCAATTTGAATTCAAAAACCACCAAAATGGTGCGTGCTTATCGCCTTGGCCGTTTCCTTTGGACCTAAACCCCCGAATACGAATTCAAAAAACCAAAAAAACCGAAACACCGAAATTAAACCTGAACCCGATGAGCTCGATAAACCGACAACAGCCGACTAGAAAATAAATTAAAAATACATTTTTACGTAAATGTGGCACATTAAAAGGCGACTTGAGGAGAGCACATAATAAATATAAAAACACAATTAAATTAGTGCATAGAAAACAAATTCAAAAACAACATTAAGGGAAAAAGAAAACGAAGTAAAGTAAGAGAATAGAAACACGAACTAAAATAAACCCAAAGATGTATTAAATACGTAGTGAAAGGTCTATACGGGTAGAATGAATACTCTATAAATTGGGTTTACTGGAAAGAAAATAATTCTTCTTACAGTAAGGTTGGAAACTGTATAACAATGTTTTTAAACTTTATTTTTTATTCCCAACTAATACTAGTTCCTATAAGTCTATATTACCCCAACCTTACTCCACTAAAGCCCACAAAAGAGGTGTAAAGACTCTGGCTCCCGGGCTAGAGAAATGTTAATGTAAATTTCAATTGTTTTAATTTATTTGTGACCCTTTCGCCACACAGTCACGGACTAACTTAATGCTATATATACCTATATAACACGGAATAACAAAAAACAAAAACTGAATTAAAATGAAGGCGAGAAGAAAAAAAGTGGAGTGACTCTATTCTTTGGCCTATCTGTCTGTCCAAGACGTGACTGGCATTCAGCCGGGGATCGGGATCCGCAAAAGGGTCCAAGAGGTCTCTTCAAAGGGGAACGGAACCAACTGTCCCCCAGTATTTGGAGCACAACGAACGGTCTCATAACCGGAGCGACTCCAGACAGTTGACTGAACTCCCGCCACTGGACTGGGGCTGCCTACAAAAAAATGTGTGCTTCCGAAAAAAACAAAAAGTAGAGAAATTCCGCTTGTAAAAAACAGAATGGAAAATCGGGGGAAATGCATCAGAATGTTCGATGAAAAATGTGTTCGGTTTACCATTAATCCGCTGCCCTGATCCAGGGCGACAGATCATTACACACGCGCGCGAATTCGACGGAAGGAGCTCCCTCCACCCGGATCCCGAATCCATAGTCGAAATGTTGGGCCCCCGGAATCGGTAACTATATGTAAATTTATTAATAAAAACTCCCGAAAAAAACGGATGCACATCTCCGCATGGAATCGATGGAGGGTGTGTGCCAAGCAGTTGTTGCCTGTCCGTAATTTATAGACCCGCTGCCAAATGACATGCTAACTAATAGTATCATCATAATTTATACATACAAATACATTGCATTTGTTATTTATGCCCGTGCCAGGCATAATGTCAGGCCACCCTCCCTCCCCCAGTGATTTCCATACAGATCCCTGTTGACAGAGGTCACAACACCCCAACAGATCCCTGGCAAAAGGTCACCCCGTGCTAATGGGTCCTTTTGACCCTCGGCGGTATTTGAATATCGATTACAATTAAACGGTCGACCATTCGAGAGAGATCCTGATTTATTTGCCAAATATTTTACTATAGTTTGCGATAAGCAATTATGAAAAAGTCGTAAATTAGATGTTCTTTTTGTTTTATTACTATTTCTTGTCAAATTTGACATATAAAACTCTTGTCCAAACTAATGCCGAAAAGCCATTGAAATTAATACTACCGATCATGGGGACCACTTGAATTCTCTAGAACCAGCTTCCTTGGTGGGCTTGAGGGAGGTTGTGATCGTTGAGACCTGCGCAGGATGAATATTTATATTCCAGGATCTTAATACAGTTAAGAGTCTTACCATTTCTGCCAGCGAAGCCGCCAGCTAATCGACCACGTCTAGAGCGACCACTCATGCCACCACCGAGTCCATTATTTTGCATTCCCGAATTCGAGAACTCGCTCATGCCCATGGATCTGTTGTAACCCGGAGTGGGGGTCACGTTCTGCACCATTGAATCCCTTAAATTAATTGATGTAGAAAGGGGATCTTTCTTAGTTATCCAAGCACTTACATAACCTGAGAATGACCGTAGCTGGGCTTGTAGTTCGAATACTGATTCATTATCGATTGATTGTAGCCAGCAAATGGATCGGAAGGCGACGATTGGGGATGGGAAGACATACGTGGGGAGGCATCCATGAAGGCTTGTGTTTGAGCCTGGTTCGAGTGCAACCACTGGCGGCCATCACCGCAGGAAGCAGAGCTCTGGTTCTACAAGCAAATCACAGGATGAAGTGCATCCTTATACCTCGTGAGCTTTCTTACCTGTTGATAGGGGCTCTGAGCTAGGTTTCCACCGTGGCTGTATTCCCAGTTGAATTCCGGTCGGCTCATTTTGCAAACAATTCGAAAAACCAAAATAAACTTTTTAAATTTTGAATATTTGAATTTGGAAATTTTTTCACAGCTGGTGTTTTTTTTTACTACTAGTAACTTTCCTAACTGACTGCCAGAGTAGTAATGAGGGTTTCCTGTGAGATTCCATACAGGTTAGTCTGACGTTTAGGTTTACAGACTACTTGGTTCTACTTTTTTTGAAAAAATTTATAAACCGGGTGTAAATTCTAAATGTTAGTAATAATAATATTCAAATTCAGGTCGTAAATGCATTTTTTATAGCCTGCTCAGGTAATGGCTGCTAATCGATTGAATAGTGATATTAAAGCTTATGGAGGTGGTCGTTAAGGTGTCTTAATTGTTGATATACGGAACTAATAGATTAATGCGACACTGTAATCAGAAATTAATAAGAGATTTTATAATTCATTTTGAAAAGTCTGTAGAACGCTCTTATTTCTGTACATAGTATATATTACCTGTATCTGAGCCAACTTCCACCTGTGTTCGCCGCATGCCGCACAGCTGTGTCTTGCGCCTGGTTTTGGCCAAAAAGAAAACCAGTTCTCCCTATCGATGCAAGTATTATTTATGTGTTTTTGCCGAACGGCATCGGCAAGACAAAGGCCAATGGATGACCTACAAAGGAGCAGCAGACAATAGCAGATGACCTCATAAATTGGCTCGTTATGAGGTTCATAAAAATATTATTGCTTCATATTCATAATGCTGATGCGCTCTTGAGGCCAAGTGTTGGCATGTCCTTGGTCCAGGCAGGTTGTCTAGAAGATGCCCCTATGTATCTACCTGTGGGCCCTGAACTTCAAGAGGCCTAAGATTTATGGGCTGAAGTGGCCGAGGAGACGAGGCACGTTAGCTCTGCTTTTTTAGCAGCAATTTAAAATGCATAAAATATTTGATGGTCCCTCTAACTCAAAACAAGGCATCAGAGGAGTGACTCCCCAATCCCTAATCCCACTTTATGGCATTCGTGTGGTTTTAGTTCCTGGGCCGTAAAATTGTTTTGTCACCTGTTGAAAACATTTTTTATTTTTAATTGAAAAAATCTGGAGCCTCGTGGCACACACAAAAATTTCATATATTTCTCCCGAAAGATGTTTTTCTTTTCATTTTGTTGTTCTTACGAGTTTCTGGTCTATTTTAGGGACTGTGGGGAAATATGAATTTCAACCGCTTATAGGCCATCCTAATTGCTACCAATTAACACCTCCAGTATGCCAATGCCCCGACTTATTTGTCAGTTTCGACGGGGGCGTTCAGACAAAAACATTTTGATTTATCAACTCTTTTTACATTCCCAACACGAGTGCATCGATCAGAGAGGCGGAGGACACGAAAATAGCTACTCCATCGGTCCGTCGGAGGAGTCATCGGAGTCATCTGCATTAAGATCCGACAACGACAACACTCGAATCGATTTAACTCTTTGACCCCACCCACACCGGGTCGACCCCCGAAGATCCCATCGAATGAACACATGCGAGTGGGCCTATTAAAAAAATTGTTTATGAAAACAAACATTTTCGGGGCAATTAATCATCGGGGGATCGGGGATCGGCACGTGGGGGAACGTCCCCCATCTTTTTTTTTTTTACCCCTTCATCCGATAATGATGATGATGATCATCTCCATTTCCCTTTCCATCGAGGCCTCCAATTTTCATTTGGAGATCGTTTTATGGCCTCAAAGTTTGGGGAGCATATGGAGCAGGCACTGGAACTGGAATTGGGTCTGGGGGAGTGTTAAACGTCTGCCAATTAGTGATGCTTGTTTGTTGGCAACGTTCTCCTAATTGGCTAAAATATGAAATGATTTTCGAATAAATCGTCTTTCAAGAATTTGGAGGGGGCACCTCATAAACTAACTATTTAATTACGAGAACTATGCTTTTAGATAACTTGATCAATGACTTAATCTTCCTAAAAGGCCATGTATCTAGTCGTTACTTTTTAAACACCTCAGGGAATTCATTGCGTTGCTGTTTTCCAAAGGATATACATCTCAACACATGCAATTTTATGTATCTGTCTAGTTTAGCATTTCTTCATTGTTGACACTTTTCGATATAAAAACTGATGTCCTGTCCGGCAAATAACCTAAGGGGATGACCGGAATGGATGGGTATGGATTTCAGTGTGATTTGATTGTGAAAAACCGAAACAAACAAAAGTAATTTTTGAATGAAAAGCAATAAATTTGAGAACATTTATTGGTTTTTGGGCTGTCCTGTCATGTGCCAAAAGCAGAAACATCCGAAGGGGCATTGCTTGCATCATTTAGCCCCGGCTTTATGAGACATAAATATATATGTATCTGTACAGGACGACTCACAGATACAGATACATCCACCCACAGATGGATAGATTGTTGACTCCTTGGGAATTCTTAGGGGTTGTGACTGGGATGATGCCGAAGTCCACTGAAAGAAGAGATTTTAATGTGGAAAAGTATCTTTAAATATGAAGAGTATCTTTATAAAACATTTCATAAATAAGGAGTTAAATCTTACAAAATACAAAATTAGAGGAATTATTTAACAGTGTATCTGACAAGTAGCACTTCATCGAATATCCGCAGCTCGGTCCTCGTCATTAGTCTCTGTATGGCGCGTGCCCGGGGTTTTTCAATTTTTCAATGGGTCCCAGGTCCTAGAGCCCCGAATCCTATCCCAACCCGTCGCAAGACCGTAGAAGTGCAGCCGACAAAAAGGACGAAACACTTCCGTTCGGCAGGCAGTTGCAGGCGGAACACTTTCCTATAATAACAATAACAATAAACCCGATTCGGGACATGCAGGACTAGCAGGACAATGCCGGCGGACAATGGAGGTGGTGCCCTGTGGTGGCCACTGGTGGCCAGGTCTAATGAAAGGGGGTGGACCCAGTGACCATCGGTCAAAGGTCAGGGGTGAGGGCAGTCTAAATTGTGTCATGTTCTCCCCCCTAGTTTTCCATTTTGAGCAAAAATTGAAATATTACACTTTTCATTCGAAATCGACGCTGTGTTAGCAGCAATAACTGTGAAACCTTTTGGCGACCTTTTGGGCCTTTGTGACAGATGACCCGAAGGACATCAATGCGTTAGCAGGACATTAAATCGTAGCGATTTCCAGTGAAAATTAATGTCCCATCTATGACGCTTCAATGAGTGGGTTCCATAATTTCCGATTCTCATAAATGTGATCTTAATGATGACACTCTGTATAGTTGATGCCTCATTTCGGCTTGGGGTATGAATTTTGGTTTTTAAGTCTTAAGATTAAAAATAAAATGAAATATTAAAATAATTTAGATTATATTCGAATAGCTTCCAAGTTATATAATTCTTATTTCTTAAAACAAACCCTATTCATGGCTGATTAGTTTCAGGAATTTTGGCTGGTATCCTGTGGGCCTCCCTCTGCCCCTGAACTAGGGGTCTTCCCCCCTCCCCCTTTCCCTTCCACCATCAACGAGCCAACTGTCAACGCATTGTCAATTCTATTTTTATGTTTTATGTTTTTTATTTTGTTTCTCATTTATGTTTTCCTCTGTTGTTTTTGTTCTCGTTTTGCGTGGCTTCCGCTGCGCTTCGTTTCGTCTGTCTTTGTGACCATGTGCCCTCCTTTTACCCTGTTGTGCCCCACCCCCTAGCCAGATGCCCCCAACCCTTGGCCCTTTTTGTTTTTTTAATATTCGAGTGTAATATTTCAGTTTTTTGTCTGCCCTCCGGTTTTGTCTCCGGCTCTTGAGCTGCCTTGAGGTTGTTTGTGAATGTGTGTTGACAATTTGTTGGTTGTTTTGGAGAACCGCTAAATAGCTACAAATTTATGAGCGTAAATAGCCGGCGTAAATCAATTTTTAATGCATTTCCATTTACATTTCGGTGGCCGGGCCAATGTCAACACTAAATTGATGAGGCGGCAGTTATGCCTACGAGGGAATGTTTATCGAACGGGAATTTCTACTTCCTTTGGCGGCTTAGGCCCCAAGGACGTGTTTATAAAAATATGCCTTTTTTCCAATTTCTTGGAAATAAAACAAGAAATATTCAGAAATATTCAGAAATATTTCAGAAATATTTCAGAAATATTTTCAGAAATTTTAAATCTTTGGAATTAAGGCAATACTTTATTATCGACGTTTTAAAAGAGCTCCACACGAACAAATTTGAAAAACTATATTATATAATCAATATTACTAGGAAGATTAATATAGAATCAATCTACAATTCGGTCAAGGTATTCAGCTAAAGGAAATTGACCAAGATGCACTCATAGGAAGTGGCCATACATATATGAGTATCCACAATTTTTCAAGGGGCTCCACCGCAAAAAATGTAAAGAAAATGTTTCATGACTTTTAAGGCAGTTTAATAGATAATCGATTTACGATTCTTTTGAGGCATACCACTATAGGATGGAATAAGAATTGATAAAGATATAGATATGGTGGTGCTTCTAATATTCCCACACAATGACTTTGCTTTGACCACCCATCGGTTTTAGTTCTAAAATAAGTATTTAAAGAAAATTCCAATTAAGATTTTATTGATCGTTTAGATGATTGGATAGCAGATAATTTAGTCGCATATTCATGCATCAGAAAATGCAAATTTATATCCCTTATCGTTTTTACATGAAGCTCTACACATATTGTATATGCATGTGTGGAATTTGTCCCATGTTTGGTAGCAGCTTTTCCATCAAATCCAATTTAATACGCTTAAGTTCTTACTTTTTGTGTGCCTCCTTACTTTTTGTATGAATGAAAATACATATAATTCTATATATAAAATTAAAATACATAGACTATAGCCACCATCCCCCTCCCATCAGCTATAGGCTCAATTTAATGTTATCGATTTTTAATTTTCGCATTTGGTCTTTTTGCTTAATTGCAGACTTGGAGAATTTTTCGTGTTGTATGGTTTTAATGTGAATTACAGGGTGACACCCCCTTAAACCTGTTCCCCTCAGCCCTCTCACCCTCCCGAGT